AAATGTTTTTGTGTTGATTTGGATTGTTTTCATTTATTGGGTGCATTTTTCCCTCCAGAAAATTTCTTGAACTTTCCAAATCATTTTTCTACCTTGAAAGGATTCAGAGAACTTATTAAATCTGCCATACTCTGCCAAACACTGCCTTCAATTTAAACAGCTCCATTAATCCAGAGTATTGGGCACTTTCCCTCAGCGTGATTTATGTATCGCTGGAATTTAATTCACGAAACAGATTTACATAGGGTAGTCTTAAAAAGCTGGCTACTGTCCTCAGTTTTTACAAAAACCAAAACTGTTTGGGAACTATTGTCAGGGTTTCTGTCCTGCCCTGTTCCCACAATCATTAAATCCCAAAGAAATCACACAGAGGTCTACATTAGTTATAAACTGATTGCCCCATTAGCTCAGGCTTCTTATTAACTCTTATAATTTATATTAGCCCATTATTCTTGTATCCACATGGCTGGGTACCTTATTCAGTGAGACAGTCGTGTCTTACTTCTTTGTGACTGGGTCACGACTGCAGAATAAGCTTTCCTCTTCCCAGAATTCTCCTGTTCTCATTGTCCCACCTCACCTTCCTGCCTGGTTGTCTTGCCTAAACTTTCTGCCTGGCTACTGGCCAATCAGCATTTATTTAAATCATAATTGACAGGGTACATACAATTGTCCCACAGCAGGGAACCATTTCTCATGCTAGCTAGTATGAATGACAAGGAGCCAAGCTTCTTCCTTGACTCATTCTTATTTAGCTTTGCTGTCTTTGTCTTTAGGGAAGCATTTGCAAAGAAGACCGGAACTGGAAAATACATTCCACATGTGTCAATGTAGATTTTCTTAACTTTATATTATTTGGCAACCTATGAGGAATTAAAAGTTTCATGCTGTGTTTTATTTAATGTTAAATCCAAAAACTCAGCATTTTGAATTAAAACCCTAATGGTATGGACTTGATAAGCTCATCAATTATGAATGAAATATCTATCATATGTGATGGATTTTGTGATGAGAATGTAGGAAGATTTGAAATGCAATAAGTACAGTGCATTATAGGAATTTATCAACACAAATCATTGACCTGCTAGGTATTCCAGTCTCAATTTTGCTGTGGTTTTCAGCTAATAAGGTATCATGTGGGAACCCAGAAGCTTAGAGTCACAGTAGACCTCAAAAGTATCCCCAGAAGCTATTCTTTGGATAGAGAAATTCTGCATTCAAATACCATATGATAGATAGTATTTTGATAGACTGTTATACATATGTATCACCTTGTTACCCGTACCCTATCATACAGTTGTGATTTAGCCATCCTGTCTTTTGTAAGTACACTCAATGCTGTCCACACAATGACAAAACATTTTTACCATGGATTTAGGAGACCATATTGTCACCCATGGAGTGATACTGATGACATGAGATACAGAAACTTTTAGCCCTTTCAAGGAGTAGACCACATGTTTGCTGAGATGAACAGGTAAGCTAAGAGCAGTGACTGTAACAGGGGTTAATTTCAACCTGGGATTGGGTGGCAGGGCAGGCAGGGGAGCATTAGACTTTTAACGGCTTCTTCAAGTTCTCTTTTCATTACATTTGCTCCATTTTGTTTACTGGTGTTACAAAACCCAGTGTTTATACTTCAGTACTTAATGATGATATGTAGACCATGAAAGAATTTTCATTACATTACACTGTTATCATTCTGCACAAAATCAATGAACCATATTCATAATAGTATTACGAATGTTTTAGAGGCACATTGACAAAAGATCTAGATAATATAGGATAATGATGAATTCTTTAATACAATTTTAACTTATTGAATTTTACAATCTTAAGAAAATATTCCATTCTTTTTTGAAGTAAATATCCTTTATTCAAATTCCATCAGTTACTGTGATGGTTCATATTGTCAATAGAATCTAGAATCATCTATGAGACAAACCTCCAGATATACCAATTAGGGATCATCTACATTAGGTTAGGCTCTGGGAATACTTGTGAAAAGATTATCTTGGTTAGGTTAAGTAAGCTGAGAAAATTTTACCCTAAAAGGATGGGGCACCATTTTCTGGACTAGTCTCTTAAACTGCAAAAAAAAACAAAACAAAAAAAAAAAAAACAAAACAAAACAAAAAAACAGAAAGCTAGCTGAGTGCTCACACAAACCATATTCTGCTTCTTGACTAAGGAAGCAGTGTTCCCAGCTGCCCCCTTAACCCCCTGCTGTTGTCACAGTGACAGACTGCACCATGGAATTATGGGCCACAGCAAACCCTTCCTCTCTAAAGTTGGTTTTGTCAGGGTATGTTATCATAGCTACAGCCAACTACCTTTACTTTTTCCAACTATTCAAACTGAGTTGGTTACTTTTAGCCAATATTAGTCAAATCTGAAATGTCAAATTTTAATTTAAGGAACACCAAATTTCGATTAGCTTCCAGCATCCATTGCTGACTGAATTGGTATTGTGTGATTCTCCAAGAGTCCCCAACTATAGCACGGGAGTTGTGGACATTGTGGGCAGGGAGCCTCAGTTTTCTTTACTGGTATGGCCACTGGTGGATAGAATACAATCCAGTGGATGATCCCACATCCATAAGCAAATAGACAGCTCAGATTGCACTGTATAAGCTATTCAATATTTTTGTTTTTATACTATTTTATTGTATGCTACAGTTAGTTTGTGACACAGAAATAAATCCATGAAAATCTGAGAGACCAATATTAAGAACTGACATGCAGAGGACTGTATATTATGGCGTGTGTGTCATAGAGGAGATTTTGTATAAGCTTCAAATTTAATCTCTGGAGTAGTCATTGGCTCATGAAAAGTGGTTTGCTAACCTCTGAAAGGAACAGACTTCCTGAGCTCTGAAGGGATGTGTACTTGAAGACACTCCAGTCAGCAAAGGACTATGTTAAGCATGCTTCAGACAGAACTGTATTAAGTCTGCAGCTGCCTGAGAAACCTTCACTCTGTTGAGCCCAACCTCCAGCCAGAGCTGTGGAAGCAGCTTCTTCACAGCAGAGAAGCCTGACATGTGACTCTGGACAGCCATGCTGACTTCTCAGTCTGTGTCAGGTTATTCAGTTTTGGTGAAAAAGTGGACATGAAGTTTGGAGAGGCAGTTGGTCGATGAGGGTGGGTCTGGGAAGAGTGTGCTGAGCAGCTGACATTAAAGCCACATCCACACTATATTCTGGCAGTCATGCTGTATTCAGCAACTGTTTTCAAAATGTCTTGTTCTATTTATCATGCTGTCCTAACAGGGTAGGAGTTCCAATTGCCTATTGTTTTATTATAATTAAAATTAAAAAGAAATCACTGATTTTTCTAAAGCTAGGTAGAGAAACCTGTAAAGCAGAACTTAACCAAAATATGAACTTTCCAAAGTAAACACTTGGCCTTGTTGCAGCCGGATCATTTCAGTTCAGCTTCATAATAAACCCTAATTATAATATAATAACTATAACTTAAAAATGAAGAGCACACTAATTTACTGTGGAATCAACAAACAATCTCAGCAACAGATGCACTAAAAGCATCCATGTAGCACAAGGATTACTAAGCTCACCATACTCAGTGCAAACAATATGTCTGTTTTATCAGTTGTGCCTGTTGCTGACTGACTTTAGCAGTGTCTACCATTATCTACCAGAAAGAAAACCACTGCTCAGAGAAGCCACTAAACCTCCTTCATGTCACTTAACAGAGAACCAAAGATTTGAAGTAGACAGATTGGCTGTTAACTGTTGCTGTTACAATGTCTGACAAAAGCCAGTTGATAGTGATAGTGTAGTCCATGACAAAAATAGGTTACAAAGAAACTGTGCCCACTGGAACACAGAAAAATGAAATTCTGTAATTTGTGACAATGTGACTCCTGTGGATTGTGTGATGAAATGAGCCACATAGAAAGACTAATTGTACTTGATCTTACAGATAATGAAAACTGAGTAGTGACAAAGACTAGGGTGGGGGAAGGTGGATAATTGAGTATTAAATTATAGTTAGATAGAGCAACCATCTCTGTGTATTATTATATAGGTTGACTGTAATAAATGCTGTACTGTATACTTCAAAGAGAAAGAAAGAATCTGAAGTATTCTCACCGTAGAGGTAATGTTTAATGTTGTAGAAATGCTAATTACAGTATAAAATACTGTATATATACATTGTATATCTGTATGAAAAGTCACATGGTACTCAGTAAATATAATGTTTACATTTTAATGTTACAGATTTTAAAAAGTGAATTTAGAAGAAAGAGATATATATTCACAGAATCTAGTTGTATCACATTACAATTTGAAAACTGAGCAAGCCTTTGCTACTTCAGGTCCGTACTATGAGCAGAACAGAAATGGGAGGTGGGGAGGGACAAGAAGCATCCAAGGAAGAAAAAATTTCTAAGATTTGGGCCTCAGGACGGAGACAAATTTGTGGTTTGTGATGCATAAAGCATAGGACTGTGATGATGGATACACTTGGGTTTCTTAGAAACTTCCTACATAGCCCCTTTTCTCCTCCAACAGTCAGTCTAAGAAGTTTGTGAACACTCCTTGAGAGTATGAACTCCTAGATTCCATCCCTGAATCATCCTCTACTAGGAGACTCAAAGTGATCATTTTAAAGTATATGCCTGATGACTACTGGATGCATCAGAGTATGAGGAACCAGGTAAAATTGTAGAGTTCAAGATGAGGTATATCAAGAGAAGACATAGGAGTTAGATCATTGTATGCTGCTTGAATTTTCATTTCCAAGTTATATTTTAAAGTGCATGATAAAGAGAAGCACATATTAAAAACATGAGTTTAGAAGAAATAAAGTCCTTTGTTCAGAACTTGACTGTCATTTAATGAAATACAGAGAATGTGTCCTACCTACACTCATTTTAGACAGAACATTTTTTCTCAGTCATTCTAGTCCATTTATTGGCTACTTGTAAAAAATCTTTACCTCAATGGGGACAATTTCAAGAGATATGACCGAGTTCAGCATTCATTCATTTATTTATCCATTTAACACAATGATTTTCAGTCTTGGTGTCAAATAAGTATGGCCGAGGCACTTTAGATAAAGAGAGAAAAGAACAATTGATTTATTTGGAGTTTCTGTGGACTGTACCGATCACAAGAGAGCTTCATTAGCTTGTGCTCTGAGGAGCACATGTGCACAATGTGCCACACATGAGCGCTGCTCTCCGGAGCGTAAAAACTATCAAGGAAATAGGTTGTGTATGCCCACAAAATGTAATAAACTTAAAGCATTGTGAGTGCTGCAAAGGCTCTGGGTAACACATTGTAGTTCAGAGGGTGCAATATTCCTGCTCTTGAAGACATTAGAGAAGATTTCACAGACTACTGGGCATAGGATATTGGCTGGATGTGATTGATGGCATTTTTATATTTGGGTTACTAGAAAAGGGCACTCCAGACGCTGAAGGAAAGATCGTTATGACTGAAAGCAAGTAAGTGATGTGAGGGCAAGTGCTTCAGAAGGAGTCCTGGAAAACACCTCGTAATACTTGTTATGAGAGCTACTCTGAAGTCAAGGTAATAAAAATTAAAAGGGAAGGTCATTCGGAATTTGAACCTATTGCCTATTTGCAATACTCAGATCTTTTAAGTGGAGGAATAAAGAGCAATACTTGAGAAAAATCAGTTCGAAGTGAGGGTTGTCCCTGCCTTGAGAGAAGAGTCTCTCAAGGCACAGACAAAAACTACAGTGGTCTTAAATCAGGTTTTGGTACAGTGTAGCAGTGGTAAAGTGCCCCACTTATAAATAGACCTTTCAAGTCATTCTAGGTCAACATGTGTAGGATTTGTCAGATTCTGTGGCTTTAATGATCCTCCGATGACCAAAGTCAAGCTGTCAGTGCGGGATCATTGAAAATGATATTTGGGAAGTGTTGGCAGAAAATTTCCAATAGCAACTTAGTACTGGAGAACTGATAATAGGTTCATAGGTAGTTATAGGTGGCCTGATGGTTGGTATCACTGGGTTTATAGCCAGAGGTAAATAATTATATAGACATTTATCCAAAGCAGAATTCTAGATGGGCTGGATTCATGCAAATGCATGTCCGGGATAAGCCTTCTTTCAAACAGGAAAATGTCTGAAGATGGAGCCATGGAAACCAACTTCTGGCATGTTCTCCCAAGGGTCAGGTAATGTTCCTAAAAGTGATCAGATGTGCAGAAGGTCTTGGTTAATGTTAATTTTTGTCCACTAGGTATTTCAATAGTTTCTTCACTAGGAGATATACAAAATGCACTCAGGGGCCCTAGCAAGAACTCCCATACTTTATATGTGAACCCAAATGCTTATATGTCACAAATTCACACACTGAAAATAAACACCTTGATGATATGGTATTAGTAAATGGGACATTTCTAGAACTCTTAAAACATGAAACTGGTGTCCTAATGAGTGAGGTATTTTATAGTGTATAATACAATTTATAGTGCACCTATAAAGAAAGCCAGAGATCTGTCTACAACCATTAACGATGGAAACATATAACAAGAAGAAACTTCCATGAGCCAGAAGGGAGCCTTCATAGATACCAAATCTGCATGTATCATGATCCTGGGTTCTTACCTTCTGGAACTGGGATGAATAAATTTCTGTTGTTTATAAGCTACCTAATTGATTATTGTTTGCAGCAGAAGAATACCACTTCAAAATTGCCTTATCTGTGTGGTTAATTAAAGACAATCAAAGAAATAAACCAAGAAATGGGCTTTCTTCTAAGCTTGATGACCTGAGGCATCGCACCTCTCCCCTACATATATAATAGCTAAATGTAAAAAATTTAACATAATCACTGACACAAAACACAAAGATTAAGTTCTCATTATCAGTATAACTTATGCAGTAGTAGAGATCAAGCCTTCAGAAATTGAATTTGGCATGTAGCAAATATAATGAAATCTGAGTGAACGGCACAGATACAAAGACAAAGCACAAATGAAGTAGACTAGGCATTATTGTGTTAGTTACTTTGCTAATTGTTGTAACAAAATATGTGTGAAAAATCACCTTAAGGGTGAGTTTACTTGATTTTGAAGGTATAGGGTTGTGGCACAGAAATCAGAATGTGAGATTATGAGACTGTGGAATGCTGGTCACATTACATCTACAATCACTGGAAAGAGATGTATTGCTGAGATATTAAAATATGTCAGCATAATCCACCATATAAACAAACTAAAAAATGAAAACCACATGATCATCTGAAAATGATGAAAAAGGTTTTGACAAAATACAACATCCTTTCATGATAAAGGTCTTGGAGAGAGCAGGGATACAAGGAACATACCTAAATATAAAAAGGACAATATAAAGCAAGCCAATAGCCAACATCAAACTAAATCGAGAGAAACTCACAGCAATCACACTGAAATTAGGAACAAGACAAGGTTGTCCCCTTTCTCCATATATATTCAATGTAATTTTTAGGGTCCTAGCTAGAGCAATAAGACAACAAAAGGAGATCAAGGGGATACAAATTGGAAATCAAACTCTCATGATTTGCTGATGATATGATAGTTTAAATAAGCAACCCCAAAAATTCTACCAAGAAACTTTTATAACTCATAAACTCTTTCAGTAATGTAGCAGGATACAAGATTAACTAAAAATATCAGTAGCCTTTGTTTACACAGATGATAAATGGTCTAAGAAAGACATCAGAGAAACATCACCCTTCACAATAGCCACAAATAACATAAAATATCTCAGAATAACTCTAACCAAACAAGTAGAAAACTTGTATGACAAGAACTTTAAATGACTGAAGAAAGAAATTGAAGAAGACACCAGAAAGTGGAAAGATCTCCCATGCTCTTGGGTGGGTAGAATTAACATAGTAAAAATGGCAATCTTACCAAAAGCAATCTACAGATTCAATAAAATGCCCATCAAAATCCCAGAAAAAAATATTCACAGACCATGAAAGAATGGTACTCAGCTTCATATTGAAAAGCAAAAAAAAACCCAGGATAGCCAAAACAATCCTGTACAATAAAAGAACATCTGGAGCCATCACAACCCCTGACTTCAAACTCTACTACAGAGCTACAGTACTGAAAACAGCCTGTTGTTGACATAAAAACAAATAGGAGGACCAATGGAACCAATCAAAGACTCGGCTATTAATTCACACACCTACGATCACCTGATTTTTGACAAAGAAGCAAAAAATATAAAATGGAAAAAAAGCATTTTTAACAAATGGTACTTGCATAAATGGATATCAACATGAAGAAGAAATAAAATAGATCCATATCTATAATCATGCACAAAACTGAAGTCCAAATGGATCGAACATCAATATAAAGCCAACCACACTGAACCTCCTAGAAGAGAAAATGGGAAGTACACTTGAATACACTGTCACAGGAGATCACTTCCTAAATATAACCACAGTAACAAAGAAACACTAAATAAATAGAACCTCCTGAAATTGAAAAGCTTCTGTAATGTTAAGGACACAGTCAACAAGACAAAATGGCAGCCTACAGAATGGGAAAAGATCTTTACCAACCCCACATGAGACAAAGGTCTGATCTCCAAATATACAAAGAACTCAACAGAGGAATCTAAAATGGCTAAAAGACACTTAAGGAAATACTCAACATCTTTAGCAATCAGAGTAATGCAAATCAAAACAACTCTGAGATTCCATCTTACACCTTGTAAGAATGGCCAAGATCAAAAATAGTGATGAAAACTTATGCTGGAAAGTTGTGGGGTAAAGGGAACACTCCTGCATTGCTAGTAGGAATGCAAACTCATACAGTCCCTTTGGATATCTGTATGGTGATTTCTCAGAAAATTAGGAAACAACCTTCCTCAAGATCAGCAATACCACTTTTAGGTATTGAAATTTCTATATATAGAAAGGATGCTCACAATTGTACCACAAAGACATGTGCTCAACTATGTTCATAGGAGCATTGTTTGTCATGGTCAGAACCTGCACAAAACCTAATTGCCCCTCAACCGAAGAATCGATAAGGCAAATGTGGTACATTTACACAATAGAGTACTAAACAACAAAAGAAAATTATGACATCTTAAAATTTTCAGGCAAATGGATGGATCTAGAAAACATCATATTGAGTGAGGTAACCCCGATCCAAAAAGACAATTATCATGTGTACTCACTCATAAGTGGATTTTAGACACAAAGCAAAGAAAACTAGCCTACAAATCATAACAGAAAACCTAAACAACAATGTGGACCCTAAGAGAGACATACATGGATCTAATCTATGTGGGAAAATCTTCTAAGCAAATTGGGATCATGGGACCATGGGAGAGGGTTGAAGGGGAGGGTAGCAGAGAAAAATGTATAGCTCAATAAAATCTATAAAAAATCTGTGAAAAAAAGAAATGTGTTGTTGGGGAATATTGTCTTAAAGTGTGGTACTTTTGTTTATGTTGATTTATTTCATTCTGTAAAACTTTGTTACTGTGCTTGTCTTAAACACCTGATGGTCTAATAAATAGGTGAATGGCCAGTAGCAAGGTAGGAGAGAGGGAGAGATGGGGCTGGCAGGCAGAGGGATAATTATGAGGAGAAATCTGAGAGAAAGGATATGAAGATCTGGGAATGAGAAAGGAAAGAGGTGGACTTCAGGGGCCAACCACCTAGCTAAACAGTCAGACACGGAGTAAGAAGAAAAGGTATACTGTAACAAAAAAAAATAAAAGCTCTGAAGTCAAAGATAGATGGGACAATTTAAATTAAAAAAAAAGCTATCAAGAAACAAGGAAAGCTAAGGCCAGGCATTCATAACTAAGAATGAGCTTCCATGTGATGTGTGATTTATTTGGGGGCTGAGAATTGGGACTCCCAAATCCTAAAGAGTAAAACAACTGACAACAGTGAATGTCAGTGCCCTGCTGGCTGCTTTCTCCTCATTTCTCTACCTACCTACCTACCTACCTACCTACCTATCTATCTATCTATCTATCTATCTATCTATCTATCTATCTATCTATCTA